ACGTTTAGACATAGCTCCCATATAACAGTACCCCCCAATTTTCGGTATTTTGAGGTTCTTGGGCGCGTTTTTCAACCGAATACGCTGAAATTTGGTACATTGGGTTCTTATTGGGTACTTAATGTCCCCACAAAAAATTATAAATATAGGTCCACTTTTTCTGGTAGCCCCCATATAACGGTACCTCCTAATTTTCAGTATTTTGGGGGTTTTGATTGTATTTTTCCACCGAATTGGCTATAATTTAGTATTTCGAGTTCTTAATATGTACCAAATCTCTCCACAAAAAATTATAAACATATGTGAATTTTTTCGGATATCCCCCATATAAGGGTACCCCCCAATTTTCGGAATTTTGGGGTTCTTGAGCGCGTTTTTCAACCGAATACGCTGAAATTTGGTACATTGGGTTCCTAATAGGTTCCAAATCTCTCCACCAAAAATTATGAATATTGGTCCATTTTTTCGGATAGCCCCCATATAAGGGTACCCCCAATTTTCGGTATTTGGGGGTTCTTGAGCGCATTTTTCAACCGAATTTGCTACAATTTGGTAATTTGTAGTCGTATATGGTAACAAATCTCTCTACCAAAATTTTTTAATATTCACCCCCTTTTTGGGGTAGTCCCCATATAACCCCCTTTTTATACCCTCCACCATAGTATGGAGGGTATATTAATTTTGTCATTCCGTTTGTAACTCATCGAAATATTCATTTCCGACCCTATAAAGTATATATATTCTTGATCAGGGTAAAATTCTAAGACCATGTCCGCCCGTCTGTCCGTCCGTCCGTCTGTTGTAATCACGCTATCTTCTGAAGGAATTGAGATAGGATGCTGAAATTTTGCATAGGGTTGTCTTTTGTCTGCAGGCAGGTCAAGTTCGAAGATAGGATATATCGGTCCACGTTTAGACATAGCTCCCATATAACAGTACCCCCCAATTTTCGGTATTTTGAGGTTCTTGGGCGCGTTTTTCAACCGAATACGCTGAAATTTGGTACATTGGGTTCTTATTGGGTACTTAATGTCCCCACAAAAAATTATAAATATAGGTCCACTTTTTCTGGTAGCCCCCATATAACGGTACCTCCTAATTTTCAGTATTTTGGGGGTTTTGATTGTATTTTTCCACCGAATTGGCTATAATTTAGTATTTCGAGTTCTTAATATGTACCAAATCTCTCCACAAAAAATTATAAACATATGTGAATTTTTTCGGATATCCCCCATATAAGGGTACCCCCCAATTTTCGGAATTTTGGGGTTCTTGAGCGCGTTTTTCAACCGAATACGCTGAAATTTGGTACATTGGGTTCCTAATAGGTTCCAAATCTCTCCACCAAAAATTATGAATATTGGTCCATTTTTTCGGATAGCCCCCATATAAGGGTACCCCCAATTTTCGGTATTTGGGGGTTCTTGATCGCATTTTTCAACCGAATTTGCTGCAATTTGGTAATTTGTAGTCGTATATGGTAACAAATCTCTCTACCAAAAATTTTTAATATTCACCCCCTTTTTGGGGTAGTCCCCATATAACCCCCTTTTTATACCCTCCACCATAGTATGGAGGGTATATTAATTTTGTCATTCCGTTTGTAACTCATCGAAATATTCATTTCCGACCCTATAAAGTATATATATTCTTGATCAGGGTAAAATTCTAAGACGATCTAGCCATGTCCGTCCGTCTGTCCGTCCGTCCGTCCGTCTGTTGTAATCACGCTATCTTCTGAAGGAATTGAGATAGGATGCTGAAATTTTGCATAGGGTTGTCTTTTGTCTGCAGGCAGGTCAAGTTCGAAGATAGGATATATCGGTCCACGTTTAGACATAGCTCCCATATAACAGTACCCCCCAATTTTCGGTATTTTGAGGTTCTTGGGCGCGTTTTTCAACCGAATACGCTGAAATTTGGTACATTGGGTTCTTATTGGGTACTTAATGTCTCCAAAAAAAATTATAAATATAGGTCCACTTTTTCTGGCAATCCCCATATAACGGTACCTCCTAATTTTCAGTATTTTGGGGGTTTTGATTGTATTTTTCCACCGAATTGGCTATAATTTAGTATTTCGAGTTCTTAATATGTACCAAATCTCTCCACAAAAAATTATAAACATATGTGAATTTTTTCGGATATCCCCCATATAAGGGTACCCCCCAATTTTCGGAATTTTGGGGTTCTTGAGCGCGTTTTTCAACCGAATACGCTGAAATTTGGTACATTGGGTTCCTAATAGGTTCCAAATCTCTCCACCAAAAATTATGAATATTGGTCCATTTTTTCGGATAGCCCCCATATAAGGGTACCCCCAATTTTCGGTATTTGGGGGTTCTTGAGCGCATTTTTCAACCGAATTTGCTGCAATTTGGTAATTTGTAGTCGTATATGGTAACAAATCTCTCTACCAAAAATTTTTAATATTCACCCCCTTTTTGGGGTAGTCCCCATATAACCCCCTTTTTTTATATTAAAATAGTTATCTGATTTGTTCCGCGTTTTGAGTTTGGTTCTAAGTCTCTTTTGTAATCATTTCACCTGCGGAGGATAGAGAGATAAACAATTAGAACGTAAGGTTCGATAATTAACTATAGCCGCATTTAGACCTAGCCCCTGATTGGAAGTTCGAGAATTTGAACTAAGCTTGGAAGAAATAATAAGATGGGCAAAGTTTGGATGAAATCTAAATTTTCTGAAACGGATTTGGTCCAAAGAAACATGGGGTCTAGAACCAATATTTCGATGAGGCACATTTTCACCGTGTTAAAGTCTATACACCCTCATTAGCCATAAGGCTGAGAGTATAATTATCCTTTAAAATTTTCTAAAATTTTTAATTATGGTTTACATAATCCGTTTTTAGAAATGTCGGTATAGGTCCACTTTTTGGTATGTTCCCTATATTTTCATTTCTAGTACCTGTCAATATATCTATGGTGGAGGGTATCCAAAGTTCGGCCCGGCCGAACTTACCGCTTTTTCACTTGTTAGTTTATAATTTTTGGATTTTTATAAAATTGAACTGATAGGTACCCATGTAACCTTTACACTGAATATACATATGACATGTTTAAAGTTCGATTTAAATATTTTATTACTGTTTTACTGAACCAAGTCATTATGTGCAAAATTGAATTCATCCTGCGATCTTACAACAACTAAATTAACCACTTGGGCTATATTCTACATATGTATTCTAATAACTTCATGTCAATGTTCCTTTGAGGGAATATATATGTGATCTTTATCTATAAGTAAACGACTAACATCAATCCATACGAATGCTTTTCTGCGCTTTATGCGAAATTTCAGTTCATTCGGGCAGATTTACAAGCTATTCGATATGTCGCACTGTTCAAAATTAAATTTAAAGAGATGTACCCAATTTATCTCAAAAATAGAGTGGGTTGGGTCATCTTAATGGACCGCATTGAAACATATATAGATCAATGCATTTTTTTAGGGTGCACACCGAAATCGGTGCTCTATTTTGTACGTTGTGCAAAATTTGATGTCAATCTGATTAACATGAGGAGTTTGATGCCCAATTTACTTGAAATCGGGCGAAAATATATATAGAAGCTATATCCAAATATTAAGCGATTTCAAACAAACTTGTCACAGGTTAGGTTATACTAATTTCAGAACGCTTTGTTCCTATTGGTTCCTTGGTGCGTCAATTACTTAAAATCAATCTATAATAAAAGGGAGCTATATCTAAATCTGGACCGATTTCACGAAACAAGGCAAACATCACTCTAGGCTCAATTCAGTACGTTATGCCAAATTTCCTGCAAATCGAAGGATATATAGGGACATTGGGGGCACCATTTACATGAAATCGGACGAAACTATATATGGGAGCTATATCTAAAGCTGGACCGATTTTCTTCAAACTTGGCAGACATCACTCTAGGCTTAATTCAGTACGTAATGCCAAATTTCCTGCAAATCGAAAGATATATAGGGACTTTGGTGCACCATTTACATGAAATCGGACGAAACTATATATGGGAGCTATATCTGTATCTGGACCGATTTTCACGAAACTTAGCAGTCATCATTCTAGGCTCAATTCAGTACGTTATCCCAATTTCGTGTAAATCGAAAGATATATAGGGTTTTTGGGGCACCATTTAAATGAAATCGGACGAAACTATATATGGGAGCTATATCTAAATCTGGACCGATTTTCTTGAAACTTGGCAGACATCATTCTAGACCTAAATGCTTAGGCTGTACCAAATTTCGTACAAATCGAAAGATATATAGGGACCGTTTACATTAAATCGGTTAAATATATATATGGGAGCTATATCTAAATCTGAACCGATTTTTCCCAATTTCAATAGGGTTTGTCCTTGGGCCGAATAAGTGACCTATGCCAAATTTCATCCAATTCGGATCATAAATGCGACTTGTACTTTGTTTACAATTTAACATGGACAGACAGACAGACGGACGGACATGCATAAATCGACTTAAAAAGTTATTCTATTCATATTCTCAAAAGGAACCATGTGTCTATCTCGTTTCCTTCTGCCTGTTACAAACATATGCACAAAGACATAATACCCTGTACCACAGTGTGGTGAAGGGTATAAAAATGTCAATATTGGTTTAGTCATATTACCTTCTAAATTTCGATGTTTTGAGGAATTTGAAAATGTTTTTAAATCGAATTTGATATTTTTGATTCGGTATTTTGTTTCGGGGTTTCAACCGAATTGCCTATAAATTGATATTTCAGGTTGTTACATTTTTCTACCGCCTATAATCCCATTTTGGCAGTGTTCACAAAAAAAGTATCGCCCAATTTTTTAAAGGCTTTAATCAAAGTAACTGTAATTTGGCATTGCGTTTTTTGGAGACTGACATAGATACATATATGCAAGATACATCCATGTTTTTACAAATTTTCTTTAAATAAAAATAAATTCCAAACATTATTCTTTTATTAAAAAATACGCTAACTGTAAATATGAAATTCTTTAACTAAAATGTAAGGCTCCACGATTATAGAACCAGGGTAATAGAACCTCAATGTGTTTCCTATAGCGATCATTGGTAAACATCAGTTTTTTAAAATCATCAGCATCACCATCTTCACCCATAAAGTTGGCTAAGTTTGCCTTCTCCGTTGGATCCAGCAAAACTACACCCATTACACCGATAGCTGTCTGGACTCCAAACATCCCGTATTTATATAACATTATGTGAATGTCACGCAATTTTGGAATGGGTTTTGTGTACTTCAGCAATCTCAAGTTTTCACTCAAATTATCGTGATAGAATTTAATGAAATAATCGAATTTCTTCAATTTCACTTCATAATTAGTTGATGATACCAGAAAGTAGTAAAGGTCCTGGGCAGGTGTACCATATCTGGGTATTTGATAATCAATCACGTAGGTCTCTTTGATGGCACCAAAGGCATCATACTGGAACATGAAATTGTTGCTCCAACAGTCACCGTGATTCAGAACATTAAATTCGTTGGGATTCACTTTGACCATGCGAAAGACTAATTCTATGGGATCTTCTGGGGGAACCTACAAATAGAAAAAAGAATATAATAAATATTGTCTAACCCCTTGTTTTGTGGACTTACCAAATGTTCACCATATTCTTCATAGTGCTTATAGGTTTTTGCACATTCGGTAAAGATTTTCGTTATTTGTTCACTCATTATTTTCATCATTGGCTTGCATTCTTCCCTGTAGTATGCATGGCAGTATTTCTCCTCGAAGGGACCATTTATTTCATGATACACTGCAGAGGCTGCATGCCACTGAGCCAATTTCTTTAGTACACATTCGACATGTATTTGATCCATACCCTCCAGACGATTGACATTTTTAAAACCACGAGGAGTTAGATTTTCCAGTAGTATATAAGGTTGATCGGTTGGCAGCACAAAACTGTTGGGTCCAAATTTCACTGCTACACCAACATCAGCGTAAAGCTTTTCAAAGGCAGGCACAATGTCATCGTACATGCCCTTTTCCACAGCAAACACATCATGTGAACCCATCATATCTTTAAGCATATCCTGTTCGTGACCAGTTTTCAGCATATATGATAGGGATTTGCTGGAACCATCTGGAAGAATTTAATTTTATTAATTTTCGAACTTACTTCGCTGCACTTTTTATTGATGCAAATATTTAAATTGTTATATTTCTGATTTAGAGGCGGATTGCTTCCGTCAGTATTGTTATATAGAAACTAAACTACGGAACGCTGCTAGGAACTCAGAATATTGGCTATTGTTCATGAAAGTGAAGTGAGTAAGACATGTATCGAATCCTCACAGAGTCCATTTACCTCGAACGGTAACTGGAGGGTGTGTATAACGTTCGTCACATTAGCAGTATGGGACAGTATATATTCACATATTTGGATGACATGATTGTCATTTGTTAAACATTGTAAGAATATTTGCAATATTCCGATGGCTGCGCAGTGTGAAGATAAATCCTAAGAAGTGTGATTTTGTTTTTCAAAAATGATACAGAATATTTCGGTTATCTTGTTAGCGCCCATGAAATCCTAAAGCTTGAAAGCCCACCAATTATTTTTTTGGAATAGTTTATGGTTATCACCTATTTATGCTACAGCTCACAATATTAGAGTACGTTCTCACATACTTGTTGAACACAGTTGAGTCCTGGAAGATACTGAAAGGATAATAACATATGCTAGTAGGTTGCTCCATGGAGCGGAGAATAATTATTTCGCAACAGGACTGCTTAGCCGATGCACAGTCAGATTATGCGCTGGTAATTAATACAATGAAGACCTTGTCTGTCAACAGATTCGTTCGTAGTTGTGAATTCTGTCAACCCTAGGGCAACGGCATTTCTCCGCAGGTATCGATTGTAGGTGAGACATGGTCCACTTTTTGCATCGACAAAGTATGTTTTGAACCAGGGACTTACGCAGGAGGCCATTATTATACCCTACACAACTATGTTGTCAGGTTATCATAGCTTTGCGCAGCCGCAACAGTTTGTAACGTCGCGAAATATTGGTCCAGACCTACCTTTAAGTATCGGTATACTTAAAAGTGGGTGTAGGACCAATATTTCGCGTCATATATCGATTAGCTGAGTCTATTTAGACATGTGTGTTCGTCCGTCCGTCTGACCATTATAATTTGTAAACACGATACAGGCCACAGTTATGGACCAATCGTTACGAAATTTTGCAAGTAGGATGGGTTCTGTCCAAAGAAGACCGCTATTATTTTTGTGTAATGATCCGTTAATATTTAGGGGATGAAATGTTCCAAAAACTTTCTTTTTTGCGTTTTTCTGGTCGCTTTTGAGGCCACAATTACGATCCGGGCAATACGAAATTTTGCACCAGGAAGGGAGTCTGGCCAAAGAGTAAACATTACTCTTTTGATGAAGATCTGTCAATATTTCGCGGGTCAAATGGACCCATACTTTTGTGTGAAAAAATTACGAATTTGTTTTTAATGGCGAATATATTTACTTCTGAAGGACATAGACCCGAGAAGTTGATAGTATATCCAAGGGAGTCGTCAAGGACGATACCTATAATTTTCGGTGATGTTGATATGATATTTTTACCAGATTTCCTAGTCGCTCTAGAGGCCATTATTATATGCAGAACATCGCGTATTTTATGATTGTTTAGATGATGATTGCATATGCAAACATAGCTTCCATATATATTTCGAACGGGTGTCTGATTGAAATGAATGGCATAGTACGGATTGATGTTAGTCGGTTCGCATATTGATAAATATTACATGCTGCATAGTAGCATATGGTGGCCAACACTATTCTCCTCCGGATTTCAAAGCTGATGTTATTAGTTTTGTTTATGGCGGTACCGAGGTATATGAAATCTTTCACTATCTCGAAGCTATAGTTTTTAAGTTCCACAGTTGGTCCGAGTCTCTTTTAGCCATTTACTGCCAGTCCCACTTTGGCAGACTCCTTCTCAATTCGTTCAAAGGTGGCTGTTACCGCTCGTAATGTTCGATCCATTATGTCGATGTCGTCGTTGTACAGAGTGCCATTTCCGTTCACATTTGCATCTCGAATTACCTTTTCCAGCAGGATGTTGAACAGGTCACATGAATCCTCATTCGGTATTTTGCAGGAATGCCAAACGCAGACATGGCTTTAAACACCTCTAAAAGGATAGGGCTGTCGAATGCGGTTTTATAGTCGACGAATAGGTGGAATGTGTCTATGTGTTTTTCGTGTTTTTTTCCAGAGTGAAAATCTGTTTAATGGTGGATTTGACAGACCTGAAGCCGCATTGGTATGGTCCAAAAATGTCATTGACCAATGGCTTAAGTCGTTCACACATCACGCTGGATGGGAAGGAAACTTATTCCTCTATAGTTGGCACATATCGTCTTGTCTCCTTTTTTGTGCACGGGACACTGGATGCTGAGGTTCCAACCACTGAGGTTCCAATCATTGGGCATGCATTCTTCTATTCAAATTGTACAAATGAGTTGGTGCATGCTCCTGACCAGCATCTGACCACAGGTCTTGAATAGTTCGGCTGGTAATCCATCGACACCTGCTGCTTTATTGTTGTTCAGCCGACTAATTGCTACTCTGACATGTCTAGGTGGTATACACTCTATACCGTCATTTCTTATTGGTTCTGGGGTATCTTCTTCATCGCCACTATTTGATACTAGAACCTTTTCAAATTGCTCCTTCCAGATGCTCAACACGCTGTCTGTATATTTCACCAGGTTTCCATCTTCACGTCTACAGGAGAATTTGCCTGCGCCAAAGCTTTCGGTTTAGTGTTTTACTCGTTGTAAAAATTTCCGGACTTCATTCTTACTCCTGTACATCTCGATTTGCTCTCGCTCACGTTTTTCTTGTTTTTTCTTCTTTTTTCTAAAAAGACGTTTCTCTTCTCTCCTTTTCTTCCAATCATTTTCCATCGCATTACGTGTTGCTACTGTCTGCAGTGTTGCCCTATACAATGCGTTTTTCGCCTCAGTAGCATTCCGACACTCCTGATCGTACCACGGGTTTCTTGATGGTGCGTTTTGCTGCAGTTTGTAGGGAGCGGGCAATTCTTTGCCATTGTGCTTCTATATTATCATCGGGACAAGGAGTGTTTTCGTCAAGAAATCCAGGTGGCCTTGTGTATATCGAGATTCTTGAATCTGGTGCTGCTACCATGGTTTTTGCTGCCGCGAAGTCAATTAACCTCATGCCGTTGTCTGATGTTTCTTCATGAAGGTCTTTTATTCTCCTATTAACCATAAATGCGCAGCCAAATTCACGTCTCGTTTCATGGCAGCTATAATACAGGGCGTAATCATCTGATTGACTTACGTCAGTCCCTTTCCATCGCATTTCCTGTATGACAATAATATCGGCTTTGTACTTCTTGAGTACATCGTCCTTTATAAGTGTGCGGGGGTCGTCAACATTAGGGAGGGGGGTTGGTTTTCTTTTTCGTTGCCTTTTCATAGTAGAAGGGGTATTCCGAGCAACTAACCCGACGCCTCAAATCTGTTTTAATGAAAAAATCTTCCTACCAATAATTTTAGGGTAAACAACTTCTTCACAGAACATTTTCAATATTAGTATGTTTTTTACATAATCCCAAGAGAAAGGTCACACATAATTTTCGGTATGTTCAAGGTCTTAGGTCTTCCAATCTCAGTGTCTGAGATTTATGTCATAACACCCATATGGAAGTCCCGATTGATTTTAGTTCTTTTGAATGTCCACATCGTGGTGGAAGGTATAAATAATTAATTTTTACTTGTTATACAGTGAACTCTCGCTAATGTGAACTAATTAATTTTTGGGTATTTCGGGGATTCGCTTATTCCCTAATTTTTTTCAATACTTTAATGCCTGTTTGAGTGTTTACATTATCGAAAGTTCACTGAATTGTTTTGAGACATTGGTCATCATATAGCACATTTCCTTATTACATATTTATTTCAACCACAACATTTGATTTGTTTACCTTGTAATTCAACATCAACATTTATTCTCAAAATAACGGTGGCATAATTTTCACCCGCAGCTGCGCCGGGATTAACTTCGAATTTTTTAATACATTGGAAATTTGGAATATTATCCTTGAGCAGATTTTCAAATAGAGATTCCTCAACCCAATCGGGTATTGGATTTGCTGGTTGTTTTACTTTTTCTTGTTCCGTCATTTTCTTAAAACTTCGACCGTGTTCTATGCTAATTATCTAAATACTGACTATTGATTATTACTATTATGTTTGAAAATTAACTAAAAATTGTGAAATAAAAACACTATGGGTTTGCTATCAATACAAACTTCAGATAATAAAACGGAATTCATTTCCCAAAATCACAACATACGTAAGCTCAAAGTGTGGACTTGATAAGCGAATGTGGATAATATAGTTAGCACCAAATATTCCTAGTACGAGTATATTTATCGATTATATTGTCCGACTAGACGACGTGTGTTCGGCCAATTGTTGTTTATTACCGATAATATTAGCAAGACATTCTGAATAATCAAATATCATTTTATGATAGCTATATAGTGTCTTGCTATACAGGTAGAGTCCGACCACAATTTAGAAACCTCAATTTCATGACAACCAACCGATAGCACCACTACCCAAAGGTGCTTTATCAATATTAGTTGATATTTTCGGGGGCGTTGACATAAGTTTTTTATTAGTTCTCAATGGGTTCGTTTGTATATGACACCAGATAACATATCGGACTTGTTTGGGACCTGGTAACTGGTATCTTTTGTTTTGGGACCAACCAATTAAGTGTCTAGGGGGTTCTATACCACCTGTTCTACATGTAATTTGAAAGCAATTGAATCGTTTCACTATGTTACTGACCACTTTGAAATTACTTCTGTAGTCGATTTATGAATGTTTATATCATCTAAAATTTGTGAAAATCCTCTCAAACTTAGATATAGCTTCCATATATATATTTTAGTCCGTTATCACAATAGTTCACCAAAGTCTCAATGTTTGGCGATTGCTACGAAATTTTGATGTCATGACCTGGGAATGGTTTTCGTCACTTAAGGGAACCCCCCCTATTCTCGATTTTAATGTTTCAAGATTTTCAACGGGCTGGTAAATGAATACCAATGCTTGTTAAGGTTTGTAACTTTGCACATATATATTTGAAGATTTAAAAAGAAAGAAAAATAATTTACAAAAAATTGTTGTTGTTGTTTTTTGTAATTAAAGAGAAGTCCTTATTTTTGATGGCGGACATGATAACTCCTCACTGGAACATCGGAATCCAACGGTGTTAGAATATTGACTTCGCTCTAAAATTAACAAAATGGCGGACGTTTGAAAAAATATATTTGGAAAATCGTCGATTTTTGACCAAAAACCAAGTTAAAAAATAAGGAAGATCTTCACCGATTGGCTTTTTCCTAGTTCATACGATAGGTATACACTCACAGAGAAACGTGTAAAAATTTGGATCGATTGGGTTATTAGTTTTTGAGTTATCGTGCTCGCCATTCGCAAAAGAGAAAAACGCGTTTAAAGTTTTAGAAGCCCTTTATCCGTTACTTGATACTAACACAATAAATCGGCAATATCTTCAAGAGTTCTTGATATTTACACTTGAAATTTTGTTGGCACATGGTTTTTGTATACCTACATATATATCCTAACAGACGTTGCCTTTTCGAAGGAGCATTGATATATGAAACGACTAACATCACCCATTCTGCCTATGCTAAATTTTATTTCATTCGTGCAGATTTAGAGTCGATTTGTGTACAGTAGGACAAATTTATGTAAATCGGTTTAAATCTAACTTCATACACGCAATTTGGTATACCGCACTCTTCACGATTTAATATCAATCAGACACCCGTTCGAAATGTAAATGGAAGCTACGTCTGCATCTGCATCAATTTCAATTTTAACGCAATAACGTCATTCTAGTATCAATTAGATACGTTGTGCAAAATTTCGTGTCAATCGGACAACAAATTGAGAGTTTGGTGCACCATTTACCCAAAATCGGATGAAAACATATATGGGAGTTATATCTAAATTTGAAACGATTCAATGAAACTTTACAGAGATTTATTTATATTAACTTCAGTACATTGAAAAAATTGTGTGCCAATCGGACAAACTTTGGGTCTTTAGTATACAATTTACATAAAAACGGAAGAAAATATATATGGGAGATATATATGGGCAATATTGCCAATTTTTTAACATAGCTGAAGCGGAAGTTCAATCCCTTTATAACTCGGGAACTACTTAAGTATATGAAAAAAAGTGAATAGTTTTGGGTTAATTGATCTGTCGTTGCAAACTGTTCATGATATTGACCTCCAAACTTTATTTTGGTGGAAGCTGTGCCTACTTTAATGTAAACAAGTGAAAAAGCGTTAAGTTCGGCCGGGCCGAACTTTGGATACCCTCCACCATAGATATACTGACAGGTACTAGAAATGAAAATATAGGGAACATACCAAAAAGTGGACCTATACCGACATTTCTAAAAAGGAATTATGTAAACAAAAATAAAAAATTCAGAAAATTTTAATGGATAATTATACCTTCAGATTTATCGCTATTGAGGGTGTATACACTTTAACACGGTGAAAATGTGACTAATCGAAATATTGGTTCTAGACCCCATGTTTCTTTGGACCAAATCCCTTTCAAAAAAATTAGATTTCATCCAAACTTTGTCCATCTTATAATTTCTTCCAATCTTAATTCAAATTCGAAAATGGGGAATATCGGTCCACTTCTTCTGGAACCTCCATACAGGGGCTAGGTCTAAATGCGGGTTATAGTTCATTATCGAACCTTACGTTCTACTTGTTTATCTCGATATCCTCCACAGGTGAAATGATTACATCAGAGACTTAGAACCAAACTCAAAACGCGGAACAAATCAGATAACCATTTTAATATAAAAAAGAGGGTTATATGAGGACTACCCCAAAATGGGGGCGAATATTAATAATTTTTGGTAGGGAGATTTGGTACCATATACGACTACAAAATACCAATTTGCAGCAAATTCGGTTGAATAACGCGTTGAAGAACCCTACAATACCGAAAATTGGGGGTACCCTTATATGGGGGCTATCCGAAAAATGGACCTATATTCATAATTTTTTGTGGAGAGATTTGGGACCTATTAAGAACTCAAAATACTAAATTACAGCTAATTCGGCGGAAAAATACGATCAAAATCCCCAAAATATTGAAAATTAGGAGGTACCGTTATATGGGGGCTACCAGAAAAAGTGGACCTATATTTAGCAAATTTCAGAGCAAATTTTTGTGGAGACATTTAGTACCCAATAAGAACCCAATGTAGCAAATTTCAGCGAATTCGGTTGAAAAACGCGCGCAAGAACCCCAAAAAACCGAAAATTAAGGGGTACCGTAATTGGGGGGGGTACCAGAAAAAATTGACCTATATTTATAATTTTTAGTAGAGAGATTTGGTACCCAATAGGAACTCAAAGTACCAAATGTCAGCGAATTTGGCTGAAAAACGCGCTCAAGAACCTCAAAATACCGAAATTTGGGGGGTACCCGTTATATGGGGGCTGTCCGAAAAAAATGGACCTATATTTATAATTTTTAGTGGGGAGATTTGCTACCCAATAAGAACTCAAAGTACCAAATTTAAGCGAATTCGGTTGAAAAACACGCTCAAGAACCCCAAAATACCGAAATTTGGGGGGTACCCTTATATGGGAGCTATGCCTAAACGTGGACCGATATAGCCCATCTTCGAACTTGACCTGCCTGCAGACAAAAGACGACTCTATGCTAAA